CAGAGCGAACCTGAAACTTTCTCGTCTTCGTCACCGGGTACTGCTTACACAGCGAAACAGCCATCCAAAAGAAAGTCTCGTTCCTCCGCGCTTCCCGGTTCTATCGTTCTATGGTCACGCCATCCACGTGAAAATCCATATCCATGTATTATCCATATTGGGAGAGGCTAGCTCAGTCTCAACACTGTGTATGTGTGGGGGGCGATAGCTTTGTGGGTGCAGGGAGGGGAGCAGAAAGAGCGAGGCCAGCGAGTCCGCGGCTTCAAAATCCCAAAGTCAGTTAGTGCAGCTTCAAACCAAACTTTACACAAAACTTTGACTCTTAAAACCCACATATAACAACATGGAACCAGCAACATCACACCTCAAATGGAATTAAAAGTGACATTTGTGTCTTTATTCGTCCGTATTTAAACTTTTTAAACAATTCACAGACTTTACGACTGCCATCTTGGTTTGCTTCTGCAGACGCGCATTCGCAGGTTTTGCATTAAATCATAAACAGTTGAGGCAGCACAACTTGACAGAACACCGGCTCACACAGCTCCATGAGCATGACATGCTTGTAATCTCCTTGACTCCTTGCCATTGGTGCCGTACAGAAAACTGAATTATTCAGTGCATTCTAAGGCTGCCTTAGAATGCACTGAAGCAGTTAAGCCTCTGTGGACTTTTGAATGCACTCATTAAATGAACGGTATGTGTCAGGCTCGTGCAGCTAACGCATGCGCAAATGATCCAGCCTCCGCTCCGAAAGTGTTTTTTTTTTTTACATTTTCTTGCTCACGGCAGGATGATATGAACAAGTTATTAATAACCAATGCAACTCGTATAGCTCTAAAATCTAATTATTTCGATCTTTAGTCACACAGCTATGTTTCCTCATAAATGCGTTCTGAAAGAAAGACTGCATGTAGTGGTCAAATTTCGATTCACAAAAGTTGTGTATGATAGTTATTATAATCATTTCATTATTTATACTCAGCAATACGAGCTTCAAACATATTGGTTTATAAAATAAATGCTTGTTTGTTTTTCTTTTTTTGCAGGTCTTGAAATGCTGTGAAGTTGTAAATATTGTGAGTTTAATTGGGACAAGGGGGGCGGAGTCTGCGCTGCCCCAGCTGGGTCTGATAGAAAACCTGCAGCCATAGTGGCCCTTTCTGGACCGGTTACTTGCTCAAACACTACAGACTAAAACATGGAAGTTATACAAGATCAGTGCCCTTTCCTTGCTTGTTCACAGAATGTGTTTGCACATTTAATTTAATCAGTTCACTAAAAAGTCACTTGTCAAGAAACCGTCCTCCATGCACCCAAACCAACAGTCGACACAATTTTCATGTCACTTGTGTGATTTTGTGGCACATTGAAGATTTTTACAAACACCTTCGGCATGCACATCTTGGAGTTAATCACAAAGTTTCTTGTCCTTTTAATGGATGTTATTTTGAAAGTAATTTGTGTTCCTCAATCAATGTCCACAAGAGCAGGAAACATAGAGGGTACAACTGGAAGATGTTTAAGTCTGAAATTATCTCCAGCAATAATGGTCAGGCTTCAGAACACACTGCAATTAATAATGAAACTACAGAGGATTGTGGGGATGATGAGAGGGATGTGAGGATCCTAATGACCTCGATGAACTTGAAAAACAACTTGAAGAGCATATGGCCCTGCTTTTTCTAAAGATGGAATCAATCCTACTTATCCCCAAACGATCAATACAAGAAGTCATTGAACAACTTGTACAAATATGCGACTTGTCGAAGTCCGTACAAGACATTTTAAAAAGACAAACACAGCTGCAGATAATGATGCGATGGCCTCTGAGTTGGTAGCTGCTTTTGGGACACTAATGTGATTAGCAAGTGTTGTGTCAGGGGTGGTTCTTTATCAAGTGAAAGGAGAGAAACTTTTCATAATGATAACTTTCCTATTGTGAAACCAGTTGAGTTCTTTATTGATGGATTAAAAAAAGACACTGCCCTGTATGTTCCCCTAATATATTAGACAAGACTGATGTTACTAACAAGGCTTTAAAGGGACCACAGTCACTACCTCATGACTACAACACATACAGCGCTACAAGGCAGATTCCTTCAAAATCTCACTGCTACTGTACATTGATAATTTTGAAGTATCAAATGCGTTGGGCAATTCAAAGAAAAAGCACAGATTGACTGCAATATACTGGGTTAATGCAAATATTCCATCCAAAGACCGATCAACGTAACATTCCATCCAACTCGCATTAATGTGCAAAGCCTCCCTTTGTGAAAGAACATGGCTACATGGCAAAAGATCTTGACCCAATACTCAAAGATCTTATTCCTATGGGACAGCAAGGTGATTACATTGAAAAGTTGGGATCTTTTATCAAAGGTACTGTGCTCCATGTGGCTACTGATAATTTGGGCTCTCATTCTTTGGCAGGATTTTTGGAAAGCTCTGCTGCGGACAGATTCTGCAGATTTTGCATGGCATCAAAACAGGAATTTCAAGAAACGGAAGTATGTCCAGGTGCTTTTTCTCCACGAAATGCAGAATTGCAAAACCAACATGTACAAAAAGTGCAACAAGATCCCAGTCTATCCAAAGAATATTGCGTCAAAAAAAAAGTGTGTCCTAACATAGTCCCTGTCATACGTCCATGCAATAGCAGGATTCCCCCTTGATCCAATGCACGACCTACTTGAAGGAGTAGTGCTTTGGAATTGTCTCTTTGCCCGTCGGACATTATCTCTAAGAAATACCTTACATTGGATGCCCTTAATCATGCTATTAAAACATTTCCATACAGTGCTTATGACAAGACTGACCGGCCTCAGTTAATTTCAGCAATTTTTTCAGCAAAAGGGACCATTGGAAGGAATGCCCATGAAAACTGGGCCTTTATTAGACTGCTGCCGTTACTCATAGGCCACTAGGTACCCGAGGGTGAGGATGCCTGGGACATACTCCTGCTCCTCAAAGATATTGTTGTCCCATCTTTACATCAATCTTCTCCAGGGCCAAAAGATGCAGATTTTTCTTTTTTTCCCCCCAGATGACAAGACTGAGAATGACCATGCGTGTCATTTTTAATGAAGGTGACATACGGAAGGTGACGCTGGAAAGGCCCACAGATGTGGAACATTTAAAAAGAATATTGAAAGTGTCCTCGGGTATAATGAACCAATTTGACCTCCAATTTCAAGATCCCACTTTCAAAAATGAACTTTGCAATCTCAATGATGTTAATGAACTCCCAGAGAAGTCAACATTGAAAGTAATCCCTGTGTTCAAGCTCTGTGCAATTGAACGTGAACTTTGAGTTCTGATGAAACCGATAAAATAATTTCATTTTCTTCATCATTGATCAATAGAACCCAACAATGGCCTTTAATATTTGACATCCCAAATTTCTCTGACGATGCCGAGTATCGTCTGAGACAGGCCAATCTCAAGCATCTTCAGCATGGCTCATTCCTCCAAAAAGATATGAAACATGAAATCCTGGAAAAACAGCTGAACACATGCACAGCTATTCAGCATATCCTACGAGTAAACAATTTCAAGGAGTTGTGCAATCTTTGATTTCCAAACATCCTTGCTTTAGAAAGAGTGGCTCTGTCAGTGGACACAGTGGATGAAAAAACATTATCACCTGTAAAATGGAAAACTACAGCAGAAAGAAGAGCAGGTCTGGATGTCGAGATGTGTCCATTAATGCAGGAAAACGTGGACACAAGAAAGGGGCAACTGCAAACAATCAAATTAAGAAGGCAAGGAAGGAGGAACTAAACTTCCTTCCCAACTTTCCAGAAGGTTTTAATGAGCCTGGGTTCATATAGAAATTGAGGATGAGGCAAAAAAAGGACACCAAACAAGAGGCTTATAAACCAAAATATGGACCTAACCTTTGCCCTGAGAAGGCATGAAGTAGTGGGGACGAAGCCAAGAGTTGGCGTCCTTATGCAACGTTGGCCAGCACTCTTTACCCAGGAACAGGTTTGCACTTTTCCTTTTTTATAATTTGATCATTAATTCTGCACTCCAATAATTCTGTTTTGTTTTTTAGATTTGCATGGAGTTCAAAAGAGTTCTTGGAAAGGACCTTTGAGGGGACTTTTTTTCTTCACTGCCAAGGACACACAGTCATCAGACGGAGTTGGTGGAGAAAGTCTCATGGTGGGCTCGAGCCAATGCTCTACCAACTGAGCTACTGTCACCCCCTTAAACCGAGAGTTAAAGAGATAAATAGTATAGCATAGAATCAGTTGTATGTACAGCTAAACGGATAAGTTGTCAAACCAGATTATACAATACGGTCAGTGTAGAGGCTTGCTTTTTTTTTTAACTCAAGACAAAATGAATCTTTTTGAATCCGGGTAGAAGCTTGTCTCACATCCTCAGGAAGACTGTCTGATATCCTAGCTGCATAAATCTGAAATGCTGCCTCCCCATGTTCAGACCTGAGTCTATTCCCTGTGCTCCTCAGAGTCCGAGCTAGTTCATATGGCACTAACATGTCACAGATGTACTTTGGGAAGGAAGCTACGGAGAGACTTTCCTTTATATTTATTTTTATCTTCAAACCTTTTTCAAAACAAGTCTATATGTATCTAATCAGCTCACCTTCTGGCTCTGCCTTGTACCAGGCTCATATCAGTTGGTTGTTTCCTCTGTTGTTGCAGTAGGTTGAGCTCTGGTGATTGGGACTGGCGCCTGTCCCATAGAAGTGGTCATTGTCCCTCCCACTCCGTCCTGGTCGTCCATAAGACACCCGTCTGCGAGAAATCAAAAGCTCAAGTGTTTATCGTGGTTTCCCATTTGACTTACTGGAGACAAGAATTTGGTCTAATGTTATTACTAGAATGAGGCTCATGTGCCGACTGAACACGTCTCAATACACAAGTTTCTTAAAGCAGCAGTAAGCGATTTGGTCGTTTCCGGCAGTTTCTTCTCCCCTGAGCGAGTTAGCAGCCCCGCCCCCGTCTCTACGTCACACCACATGGATGCGCATCGTCCTCCTACGAGTGATGGCAAGCAGCAATTCATCCTCTGATCTGGATCCGTAAGTATATTAAAACAAGTACTCTGAGTGGTAACAGTTGGACGTACACTCAAAATAAGGCAAACATTTGTATACATTACTATTTTGTTAATATATTAGCTTATTAGCTTTGTTGTAACCTAGCCATCAAGCCGAAAGCTTCTTGCCTGTGGATATTGAACATTCCGTCAGGATAGCATCAGAGAAACAGTTCCAGTCTTGTTTAGAAAAATGTTGCTTTGCTCGTTGGATTATGTTTTATTTGCTTTGATAAACGCAGAGACGTATTCAACTACATAGTTTCACGCTGATAAGTTTTGTGATGAACATTGTGTTGCGGGAAATTGCACTGTGACCTGTCTTTACAAAAAGATAAGTTATAAGTCTGTTATGATTTTCTGTTACAGTACATATGAAGTCGATGAATATGCGGGACGCGCAAGGGGAAGGCCGAGGGGAAGGCGAGGAGGGACCTCGTCGCATCGGGGTCAAGCTGGGTCCAGACGCGGTAGGAGAGGCAGAGGAAGAGGCGCTGGTGTCCTGAGTATACCACTGGACGATGCCCGCCGTGTGCAAGACATCCAATCCATTAGGGTTGCGGTTGATAGGGTATGTATTTATAATATTAGATAATTGATTACTTGCAATACTGCTTTTTGCAATACTGCTTTTTGAAGTCAAAATCAAAGTGTATTAGATCTGTAAAGTGAGATGTGAGACTGAAAAAGAAGTCAAGAAAAGCTTTTCTGGAAAAAAAAAAAAAAGTTGTTTTAAGTAATTATTACTTTACATGGCCTATTATAGTGTGAGGAAACCTACCATTTTGAAAGAAAAGTTATAAGAAATACATACTGTAATTTGTAATAACTGTCCTTTCAGGAAGCACTGAACGCCCTCAGCCCAGAGGATCTGATGGAAATTACCATGTACTGCCTAAACAGAGACCCTGGGCTAATTCACTTAGCTCTCCGCCACAACTCCGGACAAGCAGCATGACCAGACCTGGCCAACCACCTCGGTACATCTGTGAGAAATGCCAAGATATGCCAACGGATATGGAAAACGTGTGCTGTTCTCAGCATCCTCCATGGTGCGTTTCAATGCTCCCACATATGGATGCTTACATCTAATCCCCTGGGGTCCTGCAGCTGGCTGTGGGCATCTGGAATGACGTCCGAGCACAGGACATTGTGCAACACCCTGGTGACCGCAATCGGCAGTTCCGCCATGCTGCCTATCGGAATTTTGTAATGTGGCCACTAGGGGTGTGACGATATATCAATTTTTTGATATATCGCGATACTTTCTCCCGCGATTCGATATGCATTTCCAAGTATCTATCGATTTTGAAAAAAAAAAAAAAATGTTTAATTGGTATCAATACTTAATATATGGCTACATTACGCATCTCCATTCCTTTTATCATGAAATAAAGTGTATTTTTTATTTTATTTATGCCCTAAATTAGCATATTGTATATTTCTGACCAATATATTGATAATCGTCATATCATGATAAAATCGTTATCATGATAAAACCGTTATCGTGAGCTTTGTATCGTATCGTATCGTGAGGAAACCTTAGGTTCCAACCCCTAGTGGCGACATGGAGTGTTGGGACAAGGGAATAGAGTGGTGATACCTAGTTGTTGTGTCCTACGCATTAGGGAGCATTTTCCGGATCCTCATGGGCATATGTCGGCTACCGCCCAACCAGAGTTTAAAAAGTTGTTCTGTTTTAATTTTATTTATTTTTTTCTATGTATATTTGTTATTTAGAGTTCTAAAATGTTAGTACCTTTTCAAAATAAAACATTTCACATTCACCTCACTTTCAATTTGTTTTGGTTTAAAATAGTAATAAAACATACTCTCTACACAGGTCTGAGAAGTCTAACAAAGTTTATTATTCACAAGATAAAATAAATAATGCTATTCTTTCAGGAGGCCAGGTTCTAGGAACTTGAGTGTTGCTCCGGCAGAGATTTTCCTTTGAAAACAGAATAGAACAGACGTTATTAGAATCTAATGAAATACCTCTGATATATTCATCATTAACAATATCAGTCTTTAAAAAAAATCACCGATTCCTCGACTGGCTTGTGTCCGCAACAGATCCTCTTTTGGTGGTGCTGGAATACCAGAGAGAACTCCAAGAAGTCTGGGGTCATCTGGTCTCTTTGGCCTCACTGCTGGCATATCCTTACCGCGCGACAGCCTTTTTAGTAGGACAGCTCTTTGCAGTGCTGGAATGTAGCTGTAGTCTTTTTTTGTTTTTGTACTTGCAGGGTCCACTTCCTTGACTTCTTGTTAAACAGCTTGCGGTACCTAGTTAGACGTTAAAAGTGATTAAATTGAGTTCATACATAAATATGTTCATATGAGTCTTATAGCTAGGATAACACTTAAGGTATTTTTTTTTTTATCAGAAAGTAATCCTTCGGTAATACACAATTTCAATGAAGACATTGAGTTGTATGTCAATGTATTGAACTACATAAAACACATTTATTTTTCTAACAACAATGTTTGAAGTCAAGAACTTGCAACTTTTCACCGCAAATCACCATATATGACACAGCATAAGACATATTTTAATATCAATAGATCTTGTCATGACACTTGGCTAAAAATCAGAACTAATAGATTGCTTCATGTTGAACTTACTGATAATCTCTTGAAGATGTCTTTTTCTGTGATTGGCCAAGGTGGTGGTTGTAATCGAGCGCAGCTAACAGGACCCGGGCCTCATGCACAGGGAGGGAGAATCCGAAACGCTTACCAGCATACATTAGTATTAGGGCTGGGCGATTAATCGATTTTAATCATTAATTCGAGTTTTACGTTTAGGGCGATTTCTTTTTTTTTTAAATAGATTTTTATTTTCTCTAGCGCAGAACTACAGCGCTAACGCGCTAACCGCGGGTCTATGGTGTTGAGCAGTCATTTTGAAGCTAACCTAATGCTAACAGTCTCCCTCTGGCCTGATGCTCGCTCTCACAGTTGGTGCTGTTGCAATAACACTTCAAAAGTTCAAGAATCAGACTTTATTTAAATCGCCAAAACACACACACACACACACGCACGCAGGCTCCGGTCGTTATGTTCGTACGCCATGTTCGTACGCCACATCTTACACGCTCTCTCACGCTCGTTATTCCAAAGCGCACTCCCGTGTCCGTGGCGGACACACACTCGTGTCCCACTGAGCCGCTGCACTTTGGGGAAAGACACGTCTCACACATTGCTCTCATTGCTCTGATACAAACAACGTGTTCCCCGCTGTCCGTTATCTACAGTAGCTGCTACAGTAGCTGTTATCTACAGTAGCTGTTAGCTACAGTAGCTGCTACAGTAGCTGTTAGCTACAGCATCAGAATGTAAACAGGAAGCTCGCACAATGCGGGAGTCACTGAAGTTAGTATTAGCGCCACCAGCTGGACCGAGCGTTGTACTACAGCACAGTTACTCAGGCACAGTTGAAAGAACAAGCATGAAAACCCGAGGAGGCTTTTGGAAAAGACTGTCTGTTACAACATTTCTATTTTGAGTAATCAGTTTTAAAAATGTGATATTTCATGTAAATAATGCATGTGTTTAATAGGATTGATATATTTGCGATGGGCCTTGTTTGTGTGATTTAAGTTATTTTGAAGGTGCATAGTGTCATTGTAAGTGAAGTTATTATAAAACTGTTAAGCTACATTTTCACTGTTTACAATGGCAGAGCCATCTCGTTTACAAGCATGTTTTAAGGCTTAATTCCTGTTACACTTATGCTCCATGGGGATTTAGATTAAACTGCATAAAGGAAAATCTATTTCTTTGTCAGTTGTAGTTTGTTTTTAAATAGAAAAAAATTAATCGATTAAAATCGAAAATCGGATTTGGTGTGAAAAAATCGGAGATTTTTTTTTTTGCCATATCGCCCAGCCCTAATTAGTATGTGATTATGGTAAGACTCAAGCTCTGCAGTTGACCTATGACACACAAAATACAGGAAGTAAAATATTTTAGAGAATCATGTGTACACACACACACACTGACAAATCATTCAAATTTGACAATAAACATAACATCTATTGTCTCCCAAAAGATATTTAAATTTAATTTCCCTTAAAAAGGTGAGCACATGTTCCTCATGACAATTGTACAAGAGTTTTTAAAAAAACAAACATGTGAAGCCACAATTAAATCAAGGCCATATACATAGGGATTTTCTAAATGTTTGCAGGAGAAAGTTTTCCTTTTTCTGGTAGAAGAATAAAATACACAGATGCACTTACCTGAAAGTCAAGTACTTTGTAACAGACTTGAGCCAGCGTTCATTCAGAACAACTTCTGACAGCTTCTGGTGTGCAATGGATTCCCTCTGAATCAAGGGCTTATCACTGCTTTCCATCAAGGGGTTGTGTTTACAGGCTCCAAAGACCCAGGAGTGCTCTCTGGTCACATGGTGCAAAATCCCAGTCCAAATATCCTAAAAATAAAAATATATATCAGGAGAGCACTACACACAAGCAATATCACAAAACTGCACTAGAAAGGCATGGCCCATTTACAAATGGTGAATGAGCTTCATCAACAACATACTTCACTCCATCAAAAGCAACCACATGGATTTGCCTACTCAAAGTCCGTCACATAAAGATATTTTTGAAAGTTGTCATTGCAGAAGAATCTTTTACTTTGCAGAGATTGTACAATACTTACAAAGAAAGTGCCATAGTCATCAGCCATCTTGCAACAGTACCAAAAGTGGTTGCAAATATCCCTGTTCCAATGATGGAGGATTGTGCAGTCTTTGAGCTGACCTACCTGCAATCAGAAAACAGTGCTTTTGAAGGAAGCCTGTGTATCAGGCTAAGATTCTGCTGAGTGTAAAACCAATAACGAGCAATACTGTCTTTGTAATACATAACTGCAGTACTAAAGCCACCAAAATGTTTTTAATGTGAGGGAGCCCTACTGAAATTCCTAAACATGGCTCCTGATTCTACAAGGTGTTAACAAATTCTTTATGTTGCTTGTTTGATTAGTTTAATACATGTAAATGGTCCGATAGATTGTAGTACTTTAAGATACTGCATGAATGCAAAACTCAATTTCAAGTGAACAAAAGTGTGTAAGATGAGGCTAATGTCAATATTTTAACAACTAAAGATTTGGACACATCACTTACAGCATGAATCTTTTTGGACAAGTTTTTTGCTCCACGCCACATGTTGAATGAATGCCGGACCCCACTGTCTTTGTATTTGCCCTTATCTGGAAAAAATAAGAGAAGAAACAACCTTTAATACATTTTGAATCCACACTATTTGTAAATACAAATCATTCAAGGTATGCTTGATTTGCGTTTAATATTTATTCAAGCACCAAGTTTCTTACTAAAAAGAGCGGAAATTTGGACATGGGCGTCCGTGCAGAATTCTGACACATGCACTTCTTGACACAGGGTGTCGAACGTGCGGATGAAGGCCTCCCTCTCCATGACAACAGAATTTCTTGCAGTCTGTCTTTTGTCCATGTTGACAACGCAGAAGATCTCTTTACTGGCATTATCCATGCTTGTGTAGGTGCAGTACTGTGCACTGAAACCTGGACTGTGCATTCGACCATCACCTATTAAAAAAAAATAAAACATAAAATAACTGTTCTCTGAAATACTTGTAGTAACCCTGATTCACATGATACCTTGTACACATTTATTTGGACTCTGCATTGTGAGTGAAAGAGACACTTACCGAGGGCTACAACACTTTTCTTTTGGAGTTGATTTATTATCCCCTTCCTCTTTTGGTTGTAAACTTCTTTAATTGTGTCGATGCAGTACAGTATTTTGTGGAAGGTGGTCTTGTTCACCATGCCCATATTCATGGTGAGTTCGTCCAAATCAGTTGAGGCCCTACAGGAAAAAAAGCAGAGAAAATAAACAAGGTAAACATGTAACTTGTTGCCTTCCTGGTCTTAAGCCTAGTTTATACTCGCGCTGTGCGGAGCTTACGGAGGTGACGTGACGTCACTTGCGCAACACTTTGGTCACCGCAAGGCCCTTACGTCGCCTGCTGCGCAGCATCAACATTTTCAAACTACGTAAGGGTCGCCGCAAGGAAGCTCCGCTGTGATTGGTCCGTGTGTGTGTATTGGAAGGAAGCACGGAGCGGCTGCAGCAGGGACATGGACGAGGCACTATGGAGCAGAGAGCTTTGTGCTTCGAAGGAAAAGCAGTTTGGGCTCAGAGCCTGATATACAGGAGACTGTGGACTATCTAACATATATATAACTTATAAACTGTGCAGTCGTTTGTTTTGCTCTGTTCCTGTCTTTGTTTGAATCGTAGCTGCGTTTGTTGCTTTCCTCCTGCACTCGTAAATCGTTCATGTTTGTCTCAGATATTTACCACTATTATTGGTTTTCTGTTTGTGCTGAAAACTATTTAATAATAACTATGTTTCCAACAAGAACTGTGTCTTTATTCACAGCATCACAGTTGAAATGACTTATAAAATAATGAATCCATAAAACTATCACATAAACCTACAGTAGAAACACGTGTAATGAGCTCAAACAGCTTTGTTTGCTATTGTTGTTCTGAAGAGGACAAAGTAGCAGCGTAAATGGGACCGCTCCTGTGTGATCGCCCTCATGTGGTTTGTTGTGGGATTACAACATTCTCCTCAAAACTCCGTAAGGGAACGCGCCAGTATAACATCAATTGTGCTTACGTAGGTCCACCGCAACCGCTAACGTAAGCCACGCCGCGCAAGTATACACTAGGCTTTAATTTTCTTTCACACCTCTCACTTGAGGTAAGAGGTGTGAAATAAAAACAAAGGCCTGGGTGAGTTCATGGATCTGAGGCCCTGTTTATACTGAGACGCTGCGCAGACGTTTCCAAGCGATTATCAGAAACGACCGGGCTCCTTATGCAAATTTCTCAGCGTACATACGAGGTTGAAAAACGATGTAGTTCTAGCGCCCGGCCAGTAGGGGGCAGAGAAACTTTCAAACCCACACACGCATGACCCCCTGCAGTGTAATCACTTCCGCAACGCAAACCGTGTTCGACCATCACTCTGCATTTAACAACAGCAGCAACAACAATGGAGAATGTAGCTACAGCTTCCCGTGGTTTCGTCTGGACGGACGAGGAGGTGGAATTGCTCCTCCGTGTAACGCTGGAGTACAAGACGACTAAATGCCAGGAGAACGTCGACTGGGAGTCTTGCCAGTCTAAATACAAAGACATATACGAGGACTTTGTAAGACAATATCCCCCACAGCAACGGGGAGATCACGTCCAAGGCACAAATCACGTCCAAATTGAAGGCTGTTCGGACGAAGTACAGAAAAGCGGTGGACACGGGGAAGCGAAGTGGCCAAGGACGTGTTGTGTTCATATTCTTCGAGCTGTGCCAACAAGTTTGGGGAGGGTCACCGGCCACTGAGACCATCGCAGGCGGGCTGGAGACGGCGGATTGCGAAGATGATGATCCCGCCATTACCCGTAGCTCAACCTCTCTCTCCGAAAGCCAAGAAAATGTGGAGAATGACAATAGCGGTTCGTCTTCTGGGGTGGTCAACTCGAGACGAAATATGCTCCAAGTAAGTACTTGCAGTTCATTGGGTTAGACTAGAGTGTAATAAAGTGCTCATTAATTCGTTAAGACTAATTCTATTGCTCTATTATATAATATACACACTAATATATGTATGTAATGTGTATATATATTTAGTGTGTGTGTGTGTGTGTAATATATATATATATATATGTATATGTGTATATAATATATATGTGTATATATATATATATGTATATATATATATATATATATATATATATATATATATATATATATATATATATATATATATATATATATATATATATATATATATATATAATATATATATATATATATATATAATATATATATATATATATATATATATATATATATATATATATATATATATATATATATTATATATATGTGTATATATATATATATATATATATATATATATATATATATATATGTATATGTAGTGTATGTATATATATATATATATATATATATATATATATATGTATATATATGTGTATATATATATATATATATATATATATATATATATATATATATATATATATATATATATATATATATATATATATATATATATATATATATATATAATATATATATATATGTGTGTGTATGTATATATATGTGTGTGTATGTATGTATATATGTGTGTATGTATGTATATATATATACATGTGTATGTATATATATATATATACACATGTATGTGTATGTATATATATATATATACAGTGTGTATATATATATATATATGTGTGTGTGTGTGTGTGGCAGCCATTTTGTCGACCCTCATGCATGCGGAATGTTATGTATGTATGCTGATGTTCATATATGTTTTGTCCCATTAACAGGCGAAGCTGGATGGTCACAGGAGAGAGAAGTTGAAGAGAAAACTGCACTCTGATTCGTTTGTGGAAGAGGACCTCCGTATCAAACGGAGAATGTTGGAGTTGGCCGAGGTGGCAGAGATTAACAGTAAACTGCAAATGGCTGAGCTAACAAGCGAGATGAGGAAGTTACATGGCTCCATTTCTGAAGGGTTGTCGATATTGAGACAGTTAACCCCACAGTCGCAGTTCAACTCGCCATATCCTCATGGACAACTTGCCTATGCAGATGTGCACAGACTGCCCAGTGGGTTCAGTCCTCATGGCTTCTCCACACCTGGCCCCATGCACCATCCCTCTGCAGTTTCCACCCCTAGACTCTCACCTTCCTTCCACAATCCACAACAGGGACAAGGACCGTCGTATCGGCGCATGCTGATGCGCGAGGACACAATTGAGGAGCTGGACTTCACTTATTAGGATTTCTCCTTTCTGCGTCTCGCCTGAAAGTGCTTATCATGCACCCTACACTTTATGTAGCAGTTATTGCACTTTAATTCTTGCACAAGTTTGTATTAATACTACCTCTGCCTTTAAATTGTGTGTTGTGTGTGTGTGATTTTTCAGAAAAGCATAATTTCACATGTTTTTATTCAAATGTTTGCTATTCACAGGCACAATACAAAAAACAAATGTTTTCAAATGTAATTAAAAGCACAGGGCAAAGGCTTTCTGCTTTATGGGTCAAGATATTTTGAAACAACCCTTCTGACTCTCTTTCCACCACTTTCATTACAATCAGTTATGTAGTTGTTTGCATGCTCTGGTGGCTGACATTGTTGGTCAGCCTGTACAGTCTCCAACACGAGGCCCTCGGACACAGGTTCTTTTCTAGATTCACAGTAATTGTGCAACACAAAACATGCATAAATCACATGGGGCAAATCGAGCAGGTTGATGTCCATAGGTCGCCTCAGACACGCAAATCTCGCCTTCAATCTGCCGAACGAGCATTCTATGACCATTCGAGCACGACACAGAGTTAATCCAAAGTATTGTTCTTGTACAGTGGAACCGCCATTTGTATACTCCTTCATCAGGTACGGAAGGAGAGGGTATGCTGGGTCACCCAGAAGAAAAATGGGTATAGCATCCTCGTCATCGTCAGAATTCGTTGATTTTAGAATTCGCAAAAATCCGTGCGTCGTGAACGCTGCCAGGCCACTTGATGACTACATCCATGAATCTGTATTTGTAGTCACACACAGCTTGGATGTTGAGAGAGTGCTTTCCTTTTCGGTTTAGGTAGTCCATTGAATTGTGTGATGGCCGTCTGATTTCCACGTGTGTGCCATCGACAGCCCCCAAGCATTGGGGCATACCGTGTGCTTGGAGGAATCCAGACACAAGTGTCTCAGCCTCAGGTGCGGTGAAAGGCAGGCAAATGTACTTTTTCCCGAGATTTGTGGTGATTGCTTTACACGTCCGCCGCACAATCAACGACACAGTCCCCCGAGCCAAACCAAATGCATTCGCAGTCTTCCTCAGTCTGCCTTCATCCCCAAGGTAGTACAGTGTACAAGCCACCTTTTTTAGGACTCCTACCGGTGCTCTCATATTCGTCCATCTCCCTTCGATGTACAGACGAAGTTCTTCAGAAAGAGCCACCACAGACTCTCTTGACATGCGAAAGTTCTCTTTCCAGGCCTGGGCATCGACAAGGCCATTCTCAAAGTTGTCCCACCAGCGACTCGTTCTTCCTGGTCTTAACCAAATGCTACGTATAATCGTCCTGCGCGTGGGTAAAGGTTGGAGTATCTCCCGCAAATACTCAATGCTCTTTCGGCGGCGATATAAACGACGTATTATGTGAAGGTTATGTTGTACGAGACTAAACAACATGAATATCTGCCGGAGCACAAGCACCACACGTTGAGCCGCCATTCTTGTTATGGTTTATCTGAGCTACCGCGCATGCCCAACTTTATGGTGGACGTGGTGACGTCAATAGCAGCCAAAGAATTCACACCTCTTTTGTTCTCCCGGCAGAGATACACTCCCCGCTGTGCAGCGTATCTGAGTTGTCCCACTCTGCAGGCTGGATCTGAACACTTACGTTTTCACCCCCCTGGAACACAGTCTTCGTATGAACGCTTGGTAGCAACCGACATCCAACTATACCGTTTTACTGCCACATTGTCTCCGTGTAAACTAGGCCTGAGGGAAAGGGGGCAATGGGGCACACACGGAGGTGTGAACGACCGGGCCACTGCAGAGGCTAGCACTGGTAACTGAGCTGATTAAAAGGCAGGTTATTCTTATTTTTTATATTTATAAACCTACAATACATACAGAGATACTTAGCCATTGAAGAATTAAATGCACAGAGATATATAGTGAAAGCAACAGTCTTTCTCACCAGCATACAAGAATGCATAGATTTTTTTTAAATAACTGGATGCTTGTTAGCATTGCCTACAGACAAGTTAGCTTGCCAATTCACAAGGTAAAAACAATATGCGCACAAACCTTGCCTCCTGATGACCAGCTAACTTAGCAGGGATTTCTTCCTCTAGCTGGTGGCACTGTGGAAGCTGCTGATTGGAGGTCTCCATGCCTCCGCTCTGTATAATACACTTGCATTCTGTTGTTCGTGTTGTTCGTGCTGTCTCTACCATCGACAATAAAACATGTCTTCTGTCTGAAATAAAGACACGATCCCAGACATGTCATCTTCTTCAGGTGGTGGGAGAATGCAGGCCTTGTCTGTAACATCTAGAGAACAGAAGACTACTTTTTTTTACACAAAAAGTGTTTTTTTTTTTCAAGCCAAAACTGAGAAACCTCAAGAGAAACCATGCATCTGGATCAGCACATGGACAATCTGCACAGCCCCTGATTCCACTCAGGCTGTGAGCTGCTGAGACATGGACAATACCATCGTCCTCTTTTGCATGGACATGATTTGGAACAATTTGATTACACAATTTGGACATGATTTGGAAGAATTGGATATTTGAATTTGGACATAATTTGGACTGAATTGAATTGCTGAATCTGGACACTGAAGCTGAAACGTGTGATTGAAAGACACTTCACAGAAGAATTTATGGCTCAACACAACAAATGCAGCCTGAAGAAATCAACAGAGAAGTGGGAGAGACTGTTTTCAAAGCAATATCTGGAACCACATTTCAGGCTTCAAACATAAAGATATAAAAAAATTTTTTTTTTTGTCAAGAATCAACAACAAGTGGGACACAATCGTGAAGTGGTACAAAATGTATTGGATAATTTCTCATTTTCTAATGATATTCTAAAGGGTTATTGTTAAAATGTAGGATTGTCTGCACATAGTGGGAGAACGTTTTTTTAGATGCTTCACTATACCGCCTTTTACAGCACAAGCAATACATTACTTTAATTACTTTATTTTTGTAATCGTTCTCTGGGTACACTGGGACCAAGGACCTTGGACTCAGACTTGTTCCAGATATTAAAGGGGCCACATTCCTGATGTGTTCTCATGCTCTCTGATATCTCTGTAATCCTCTCCCAGCGCAGGAGATGGACGGCCCCGGGAACAGGGCTGTTGTGGGAAATGGCTTCGGGTGACAAACATGAGGGATAATGTTTACGATGTAAGATGACAACACTTCACTATGTTTGTTGTTCTTGGTGGGAAACCATATGTGTTCAGGCTAATTCAGAGGTCAAAGCTAGTTGACGGATCAATCCACACACACATTCCTTGATGGCAGTAACAGTGTCAGGGACCTCTCCTGGTGTGTTATCACCGTGCACTGTGTTTGGCTCAAAGATTACTGTGTAATGTCAGGTAGTATTACGTTTTTAAACATACACTTTAAACTCAACAGCCCTAATTCTTTTAGTATGAAAACAACTTGGATATTTTCAATTTATTGTTTTTAAAAGTGTGATATTACAGTGACGTGGGAGGTCAGGGGAGTCGAGTCGGGAGAGACGGGGGGGGAATCAAAGGAAAATCTAATGATAAATGGCTGTCATTGTGTAACATGTCCTGCTGTGATTGAACTCTGGACCGCTCGTAGCATTTTTGAGCCAACATGGGCTAGGCATCTAGTACACGACTCAAATCCTGCAGCATGTTTGAGCTAACAGGGCTGTGCATCAGTAACAGAATCAAATGCTTGTAGCATGTGGAGCTATCATGGGCTAGCATCAGTACGACTCAATTGCTGTTCATTTTAGATATTGTTATTTTGCATTTTAACCAATTAAATATCGTAGATAATGGGTAATTAAATGCTGTATATGTGGAGTATATATTGAACCTTGATTGGTGAGTCTGGAAGGACACCTAGAGGGCGGTGTCAGAAGTGAAGATGTTTTACTTGATGCATATCATTTTTTAGATTGATCTATAGGAGGATCTTTATGTTTTACACCCGCGTTTGTGTTCCTGTGCTCCCCTGGGCTGTGGTGGCAAAAAGACCAGAGCGGCCCATACTGAAGCATGGGATGCGACCAGATTCCGATTTCCGATTCATTTATTTGCCATTTGCAGTAATCCACTAGGAATAACTGTGCAAGACTACCCCATAGTGTGCACCACACACACAGAGCTCTTGACACGGGCGCATTGCGAATGCGTCCATGCGACCAGTACTTTAACAAAAGACTCAGTGGGCGAATAGAGAGCACTGTTTATATAGACACTTTAACACAAGAGATTAGAGCAGATATAAAGGACAGCTAAATTAAGTTTAAGAGACCGAACTGAACAAATTCAAAGCCCAGATGAGACTGGGGGATGACGAGAAAAAACACTTGGTCAGACTCCCTCTTTTGGCACCAATCTGCTGGGGACTGGGACTGCAGGCTCAAGGGCGTAGGTTTGCGATTGGGGACCCATGGGGACATGTCCCCACCTATATTGTTGAGGACTAAAAGTCCCACCAAAAGGACATGATGTCCAGTGACCGGGAACGGTCCGGGACACATTTGTATTCCGTTTGTGGATTACGTCACGCCTCCTCCATCGCATACCAGGAGCAGCAGGCAGCAGCAGCAGCACGTGACCCGTTGCTCGTTCTCTGCAGTGTTTGGCTTGTCTTCTTCAGCGCCAATGAAGCACTGAGCAACTGTTTAATTTTTAAAAGTTAGCCAGCGTGAAGCAAGTGTTTTTTTTCGTTTCCTGAGCGTTTGTAGCACTTGAGTAATCAGAGGAAAGTACTGTAGATCTTGTTGTTTGTGAGAACAGCCATTTTCCAACTTGTTTTTGAGGAGAGTTCAAAGTTATTGAAGGAAGGACTCTTTGTGTTGGCTCTTTCATGGCGCTGAAGAGAGCAGAGCGGAGAAAAGCGTCGCCATGACAAGCCCAGTCATCTGTGAAATAGCTCCCTGACTATTTTCCCTGTAATTAACATGTAGCCTTAAGATATAGACACTATATGGACCAGGCACGTCCAAACTGAGGCTCACGGGCCAATTACGGG